CCACAGCTGATGCATGGAGCTGTGTCTCCTCCCCTCTTCTTACTCCATTTTTACTGTTAGTTAATGTGGAGACTGAGAAGGGGTCAGTCACTCAGCAGAAGTTCTGCTCAGCTTGTCTTCTTTGACAAGCTTCTCAGCCTCATGTACGCTTGCCACAAACCAGTGAGGGGGAAATTCCTTCTTTGTGATCAGACAATTTGTGGCTGCCCTTTACCAGACCTCGGGGAGGAACGTATGCAGTGGTTTTTCCAAATATTATAACCAAACTTATTCTGTGAGACCAGCTTATTTTGAATTGCAGTTGGATCATTTTATGGAATTGTTTTGCTTTCAAAGCTTTCATTCTCCAAAATGGTTAGAAAGGGGGCTATTTTATTTTCCTTTTTTTTGCTTTGAAGGTGAGGGTGGTGGTGAGAGAGAAAAACAGGAGGATGTGGGTTTTGACAAGAAGTGAGAGGGAAGGTTGTTCTTTGGGATTTTGTTTTACTCTACCACTAATCAGTGTAACACTTGACAAGCTGAAATTTACTTCTCTGTGCATCTTGTGAGTTTTCCCTAGAATTCAGTTTGGCTTTAAAAGTTGGCTAAAGTTTCTGTGGAGTAGGTAGGGTGTTGAAGGAGATGCCAGTAAATTAACATTGTCAGCAAACTCATAAAACCTTTAAAAGAAAAGCCTTTGAGGGCAAAGAAAATTTTTTTTCATCTTTTCTTCTCTCTCCCTCCCTTGCTCCCTTCTTTCCATTTTTCTGTTTTTCTTTCTTTATTTCTTTTTCAGAAAAGGTTACATTTTTTTCCCTGTGCACAACAGGATGGCAAACACCAGGGGATACCATTTCTGGAAAATTAATAATGTTCTGGCAAACAGCTGGTGAAGGGGAATTGACAGGAGCTGTGGGGCTGAGTGATGCAAAGACAAGCAAGGGGAACACCAAGCAATACACATTTGTCTTGTACGCTCCAACAAGTACATGAGGCAGGGTGCACATGAGGCAGGGTGGTGAACAAAAGAGAGGAACTTTGTAAAGGAACTGATGAGAATGTGGGCTCTAAGGGGGGCTGGATAGTCCTTCAGCCACCTGGCAGAGATCAATCTCTGCTGACCTGATGGATGCTCTGTGTCCCTCCTGGGTTTGCCCAGCCCCACAGCCCCGGAGGGCCTGGAATCCTGGCACAGCTTCAGGGAAGCCAGCAGTTTGCAGGCTTCTCTGGAGCCATGACTATGATGACTTTCAGAAATGGCCTGCATGGTGGTCACTGCTGGAGGTGCCATTGGGTACCTCCATACCCAGGATTTCCAAGCCGAGTGGGAAGAAACCAGAGGAAGTTTCCAACTGACTGTTTATCTTCTCCCTCCAGCAACCGCAGGGTGCGGTTTGGAGTGGAGAATGTTGCTCAGGACGAGTGCAAGCCCAAAAAGCCACATTTATTCCATGGCTCAAGTCTGTATCCACAGTCCCAGGAGATTATATTACTCACAGAAAAAACTTATTAAAATCTCCCATGCATCATAAGATATGCCACCCAACAGGAGATGGTGATTATGTTTCAGTATTAGCAGCATCTGAGTTGTAGAGAAGAGGCATCCCAAAATGACTGGATTGTTACGCTCCCAGAGGGACATTCTGATTTTTTTAGTATTTACAGGATACCAGAAGAGACCTCCAGGGAGAGGTCTGCAGCCTCAGTAATTCTGTGGACACATCCTTCTCAACAAGTACAGTCTAAACCAAAATGAATGCCAAGGTGCTTTTGGTAGTACTGTGTAACTAAGAGTTCTGATGGTCCTTGAAAGACAAGACACCTTTTTCAAACTAGAGCTGCAATGTCATTCCAACTGAGCTGTGTGCATTCCATTATAAAAGTGCCCTTTGCGCACTCTGCTGTACTCATGTCATGGATTATGCCCCTTTATTTCTTCCTAAATTGTTTCCTGGGTTTGCTACGCACTACAAACACATTGCATTCGGCCTCCAACACAGCCAGCTCCTAGCTGCATAGGGATAGTGATGCAGAGACCCCTGCTCATCAGGGCATCTACTCCCACTGATGTCAGATCAGTTTGGCTCAGTTTTGCCTGACAGGACTTTTGGCCTGTAAACATTTCGGGTCTACTCCCAAGTCACAGGTTCATAAGTACCATTCCCAATACCCCTGGAAGTGTGCCGAGGGTGGTTAGAGTCACAGAACCAGCTTCACAGCCTAGTATCAAAAACAAGAGCAGACCTGGAAAAATATTACAAAACTCTTCCACTGGCACCAGCAGGTCAGTGTCATTATAGGCAGCGGTGTTGTTCTCAGATACTATTTCATTGGCTTCCTTGTCCTTTTTCCTCTCCCTCTTCTGAAGCACATTTTCTTTCCCTTGTATTGCACGGTAGGGTTGTATCCCTGGAGATTCACAGTGATGAGGAGGAGTAGGCAGAGATCAAAAGCACTTCTAGCTTTGAAAAGATTATTCCTGGCTGCAAACCAAGTACGGCAAGCTCCAATCCATCCATCTTATTCAAACAGTGTTTCAAAACTGGTCACCCAACCCTCTTGGATTCTGCTTCCCTTTCAACTTTATATGGCACACAGAATTCTTTGATTTTACCTTTTAAAGCATGGCACTGAATTATTTTCTAGCACAACTGACTGCTCATATTTTTCAAACCTGAGGCTACAGGCTTCTGTGGTGTTTTCAGTCATGTTCAATGTCTTTCAGGGCCAAAAACTCATAGTGTCTTCACAAAACAACTGTGCGGATTTTACCTTGCCTTATTGACCTTTCCAGAGAAATAAAGCAAAAAAATTTCACTCTGTTACTTTGGAACATTCTCCTCTGACAATTTAAAGTACCAAACCAACAACAAAAGAGCCAATGATAATTGCAAGAAATTGGCCAAAGAATGGATATGTTCTTTTTAGGAGAATGTCAAGATCTAACACATTTGGCTGAAAGAAAATGTAATTTGAACGGCTGGGTGAAGATACTAGTGTTAATAGCAGAAGATGTATGCATTGAATATCCTTCTAGTATGTATAAAATATACTGTATTTTCAAACAACTTTGAGATTGGCAGGATGCATATCGTAGAGGAAGAGATCAGCAGACTTAATCTGAGTAGACAAATCTTGTCCATCTCCAAATTACAAGCTCTGACATTCATGAAAAGGCTCCAGTGTTTTGAAGTATGTTCACTGGCTGTAAGCTATGAGAGTTTCTGAAATCACAACTTGGGCTTTTTGTGTGTTAGAAGTATTCTCATCTCTAGACATCCCAAAGTCTACTTGTCCATATCTGACTGCTGTGGATGATAAAAATAAGGAGATTTGACTGGTTAGTTTTATCTGTGTACCACAGTGCATAAACAAGTGCTAATGGAAGATGTGTCTTAATGTCACATCTGCAGGATAAAATAGCAAAATGCATCCTAAAAACTATTCCAGACAGACAGGTCACAGTCTGACCATGCACTGGTGTACTTGGAAAATGAATGATTATCCAACATTGCCTAGTTTTTGGAAAACAACCAGAAAAAACTAAATTGCTCAAGAAAACAACTCCTCTCTCAAATTCAAAATGTTCTGAATGGATTAGGAAGGAACAACATCAGTGAAATCAGTCATTTTATTTCTCTCATATGCCTTGGAAATTAGTAGGTCATGAATAACACTTTGAGGATATTAGCGACGGGGTGTGCGCACACATCTTGGTATGAAAGTTAAAGAAACTCTAGAGAATACAAAGAAAATTTTCAGTGGTAAAGATAAGTCCATCTAATGTGGCTTCTCCAAAAATATTAGTGTATTGGAAAAGAGGAGTGTCTGTGGATATGGGCCAAGCAAACATGGTGATTTTAATGCAAGAGTATCAAAAAGGCCATTCACTGTATACAGCTTTTCCTGCATGACATAAATCCAAGATATTCCTCCATTGCAGGAGGTTACTGTCAGGATATACATAAAAACATTTAGCTAAGAGAAGAAGACAGGCAAACAAATATTGTCTAGATAGTTGCCACTGAAATTTCTGATTATTTGGTATTGGCTTTCATCAACCCAAAAGAAGACAAACCAGTATTTTCTATGAGAAATTTGCCTTACTAGCATCAGATAAAAGCTAATGTCAATAAAGGTGCAGTTTGGCTTGATTTATGACTGCAGTCCTGTATGCCAGTGACGACATGAATTCTATTACAGGAGAACCTGACTTGGTGTCATTTCAGACTTGTTTCACCTAGAAATAAGTAAAAAGAACATATAAATAAGTATTAGTTGTACTAGATAACTTTGGAAGGTTTGTCTCAGCCTGTGACCAGTAATCCAATCAATATAGAGGCGACAAACTTTCAACTAATGCCTATTAAATAATATTTTCCCAAGAGGATTATCTGCAATAGGCAGAAGATGAATGCAATTTGTTTGAAATGCTATTGTGCTATGAAACATCTCACATAGCCCTGATCAGTACCAGTCAGTTCTTAGTTCTAAAGTTTCTGAATCTAGGCCAGAGCATTGGAGTTATCTGCTCTGACTGGTTCATCAATCCTAGGCGCAGTTTTTCTCCTGGTCACCACCTAATAAAATCCATTAAAAATGCTCAGTAAAATTGTGCTTTCTAGAGAGATGCTCAGGTCTTATTTGGAGAAGACAAGGCATAGAATCATGAGAACAAGAGAACAAGGCATGTTCTTTGTTTCTACAAGCAGATTACTCTAATTAGCTGATTCTTATCCCTTCCCAGTTAAATAATGTGCCAAGTTTTAAGTCAACTCCAAGCTACTGGTTCTTGTTCTGCATTTCTCTGCTGAATTAAGGATGTCTTTAGCAACTGCTATTTTTTCCTTGAGAAGGTAATTATAGAGTGATCAAGCCACCTCTTGTCTCCCTGGTTGCTTTTATGATTTGTTAAACAGATTGACTTCTTTAACTCTCCCATGGTGAGGGGGTTTCTGCAGAGCCAAAACAGCCATGTGGTTCTGTTATGCTAAATATTGTGGTTTTGTATCCTTTTTTAGGTGTGGATTCAGAACAGGATGCAACCAGCTGGCATCAATAAATGTCATCTGCAGAGGTAATAATGTCATCTGTTAGGTTATTATTTCTCTTTCAACATATCCTATGAATTCATCAGCCCTGTTTAGCATGTATTCATAACCAGAATGAACAGTCTTTTTGCTAAACTCTATCTTAAGACATCTGTGGTGCTGACCTGTCTTTATAAAGGTATGATGAACTGCCGTTCTCTTAAATTTTTTTTAAGAAATATTTCATTTGAATTTAACAGTTGAATGTTTTGATTATAGATCATTGCTCCAGCAATGCTTATTTCACAGAGTAACTTTTATCAGCAGGGATTTTGTACCCATTATTAAGTTTGTGAGGAAAGTGCAGATCCAAAATGAGCCTCATCCTAGATCAGCAGCACTAAAAATACAGTCATTCAGGCTTTTCCTCTGATTGAAATTTTGAGATGTCTGTCAGTTTTTAAATAATTCCTGCTTTATATAATGTTCAGTGATCATTTGCTTTAAATCAAAGCATGAAGCCCTAGAAATTCAGTGAAACTAATGACAGTAATCCAAACATACAACATTTCTAATGAGCTCTCTAATGAGCAATGTTTCATTAATGTTGCTAAGCAGTAACTGGATAGTAATTGCTGGTTTTGGAAGCCATACTAACTTAGAAGTTCAGGTAAATTTTTGAAGGATTTCTGTGCCCTCAATGGAAACACAGCTCCTTTCTTAAGATGGGGAAGTGTGTTGCATCAATACCTATATTTTGGAGGTCCCACAGCCTAGCCTCCATGACCATGCCTGGCTCTTAATTGTGTTAAATACCAAATCATAAATCTTTGCCACCATGCTCTAAAAAAGGGTGTAGGATGGCAATGAGAGTTTAGGTGGGTGGGAATATTAATATTTTTTCTGCTAACTTTACTTATGCCTTAGAGTCAGAGTTGAACAATAGCCTACTTTACAGAATGACATCAAATTTGTTTGACAAGACCTATTGTCTGAAGTGTGTCCAAGGTTTGCTTTCAAGATATTTCTTCCACGTTTCTTTAATCAGGCTACTTTATATATAACTTCTCTTATTTTGATCAATATTTATTTAGTGAGTTAATAGCCATCTGAGGGCAAACAGAAGGGTTCAAACAGGTTCAGGCAGCTCATCACTAGGAGGATCCAAGGAAGAAAGCTATCAGTTCAGTGCCTGTACATGAAAAAATGCTAGAGTATTCAAGTTACCTTATGAAAGGTCACCATACCTCCATTGGAGATGAAGTATCTACCTTAAAAAACGTCATAGCAAAACAAATTATAGTAATATATTAGCACTAGAAAGCTCTCAAGCAAATGTTATTCAGAATTTTAAAAGTCCTTGTATTTAAAGACTTTGAATAGTAAAAATAGAAAATGACAAGAATATTTGTGGGAAATAATTCAGAGGAAATTGAACAAAGTCACTTCTGGATGCATGATTTCATAAAGTGATTGTAAAGCCTGAGGAATGAGGATAACTTAGCCTACACAGTAAAAAACAGTAGTGGGAAAAGGGGTGTTTCAGGTTTCTCATAATAGTTTATTCCTTCAGTTTTTAGCAAACTCTACCAGCTTTTAGCCCTGGATGTGTTGCAAGCTGTACCAGCTGCTAGAATGAGAGGCTGCTCAAGGCAATCCATGTCATAGATGAGAACAACAAAATCTAAAACTCCCTCAGGTAGCAGCAGGGAAGACAAAGTCCCCTCCAGATTTGTCTTCATGGTAAGAGGTGTCTGCAGAAATAATTAGTTCATGTTGTGGGAGTTAAGTTGATGTTGATCAGCACTCATTACTCAAACTGTTGAAAGACCCAAAAGTGAAAATAGACACTGGGGAGGATGAAACTGGTAATGATTTCTAGGAAATTATGAGAAAGAGTAGTCTGATTGCCAAGACAGCCAGACCCAAGGATACTGTCAGGTGAGAATGTAAGGCTTACTGTGTAAGAAAATGGAAATTGAGCATATTTCCTTGCAAAGAAGGATGGAGAAGGCAGCTGTAAGTGATCTAAAGGTGAAAGCTGACACTGTGGCAAGCTTCCTTCCTACATGTACTAGAGCTCTGCTCCCTGCCTGCTGCTGTCCCACACTGCCCATCCTCTGCTCCTTGTGCCATTCTCTACTGATAGACCACCTGCTTTAGATAAGAGGGTGGCTTCCCATTAGAAACCATCATGGGAATGCAGAACTACTGTTGGATGAAGGAGACAGTGACTGAGTTCCACTCCATTTCACTCTGGAATTGAAGGACAGCCTTCTTTCAGTTACTACCATGGCAGTGTAAGTGCTTGCTGAAGGCCAGTGACTTCTTTAAAGGTAGCAAACTTTCCTAAGTGCCTTACCATCTGTTCAGTGCTTTTGACAACGTGTTTATGTTGTCAGTCACGTGGGGGAAAAAATCAAAGCACTTCGTATTTTTGTTAATGGAATATGTTGAGAAGACATTAATCATACAGACAGGCACCTCTCTATATGTAAGTGAATGTACGAGTTAAATACTAGGGCTGTTAAATGGCCCCTGTTTCTGATCATTGCTGTCATAAGTGATAGCAGGCCTGAGGCCAATTAAACCACTTTTCACATTTTTCTCAAAGGAGGAGAGTGCTGGGAAGGGATCCTGGCACTGGCAAGAGCGCTGAGGTGAGGGGCTTAGCACCATTGTAAGGTGATCTCTCTGCTCAGACATGCCTGTGCTCCCTCCACCACATCCTACCCAAGCTCCTGTCTGGAGTCTGGACAAAGGGTTGGCATCTCCAAAGCAAGGTGAGGACTGAGCAGGCAGGGACTGCCAGCTATCAGTAACCTCAGCTACTGATGAAGACATCAAGGGATTCTCCAGTTTCAATGTCCCACCTGAATTTTCCCATTTGCAGTGGAAACCTGAAGCAGAAGCAAAAGTCCTTCTGCTTTGGAGTACACTTGCAGTTGGTCCAGTTATCAGGGAAGCATTTCCTCATGAGATGCTTGGCATGTTCTGAGTTTCTGACTCCAAGTACCCCAGGGCATGTGCTACAAATCCAGACTTGTTGTTCTGTGCAAGAATTTTTACTTACTGGCCAAATTCTCTCTCTTTCCTCATGAACAATATTGGCAGTGAGAAACAAGACAAGATGCATCCAAAGAATCTTAAAACAATGGTCAGCCTGAATTTGTAAGGTCCTTGCATGTAGCTGGCAGTAGAAGACAAGCTATTTTTGAATCAGCAGGAATTTAATATAAGTGTATCTGTCCTCTAGCATAGACTGTGTTTGGATGTAGAAAGCATGAAGCCTCACCCAACACACAATGTACTCTTCAAAATCTCTGCATATTGTTTTTCTGTCACATCTTACCTCAAAATTAAAGTATCTTGAGATGGTATGTCTGATAGACAGCTCTATGGATCCAGGCACCATTTTACTGTCTTTTGTCCTTGCCCTTTACCTGAGGTAAAGATTGTATCTTCCAGGCAAATGCTGAGCTGGGGTGGTAGTGTTTCAGTGGTATCAGGAATGCTGAATTTTTCACTGAGTTGTGAAAACTGAATTTCTCGCCAACTTTCTTTCAAGATTTTAGACCCATGTTTGTATTTCTTTTCTGTTTCAAGTGAGGAAGAGATGAGGCGGGCTAGCTAGGGCCTTGACCCGTTCGTAATCCCTGTGGCCAAGCAGGATACCAGGCAAACACGGGAAAATGGTGGCAGTCACTTTCTCATGTCCAGCTCCTCGATCTGCATTTCTAACTGTAAAATGTAAGTGTAATATAAATCAAATCAAATAAAACAACAACAGCAAAAAAGCCCTAAACAACGAGACAGTTAAATAGATTAAAACCATTCCAAATATTTCATTATATTATGATATTGGGCAAAAACAAATCCTGTGATTTTTTAATGTGAGATGTGCATGGGGTTTGTTTTACTTGCCTTCCACGTTCAGAACTTGAGTTTGTTGTTTGAACTAATATAAACTGTTTCTCTTGTGAAGGTTTTACCCCCAGAGATCTTCCAAATCTATTGCAGATTTGAAGAGCCTATTTAACCTTTTCTGACATTTAAAAGAAAACAGAAAGCAAGCCCTGCCAGCTGAAAAGTGAGTTAAAGGAAGCAGTCCAGTTTGTGTCCAACTGGATGAAGAAAGGATAGTCAAATTCCTTCCATTTTACACATAGTTAGTCATGAAATTGTACAAGAGGAAAAAAAAAAAGACAATAAAATAGCCATATTGTAACAGCTGAAACAAACCTTGGGTAACTGTCAGCAGTGAAATGTCCAGAGAGCATTTGTACCATTCCATTTCATTAAGCTGAAGGGTGGGATTGCAGACTGTAAAAGATTATAGCAGAGCTCTTTAGAAATTTACAGCTTGCAGCACAGTGAAGCACAAGGGAAGTCTCCCTTTCTTGTGTACTCAGCGGGGAGCCTGGGTTTTGTCTCTTCGATGATGATGTGTAGGGGAAGAAGGTTGCCAGAAGCACCAATGAAAACTGAAATGTGCTCTATGTGCTCTCTTTTTTTTTTTCCTTTCCTGTGATTTACAAAATGCATTTGCACAGTCGGCTTTTATTCAATTCCCAAGCTCTTGACTTTGTGGGCTGGATTAGGACAGGGAGCCTTACGGATGGTGTTTAGGGCAATACTGAATGCACTGCGGGTATAATGGATAACAGGAACAACTGCAATGAATACCACAGGAGAGGGGACTCTTTCTCATTTCAAACTGTTTAAGCAGCAGGAACTACTTTGTTTTGTACCCACTGGGGACCTGGCCCCAAGACGATCACTGAACTGCAACAGGAAGCTCAAATTTTGGCTGAAATAGGAACATGTGTCTACTGCAACTGCAATCTCTTGCTCTGTAACAGAGCAAGTACACTGGGAAGAGCAGTTCTCTCTCAGAAACGTCTTTGGTTTCAGTGTCCTCTCTCTTTATATGACAGAATCATCCCCTTACATCAGTGGAACTCCTGCTAACGTGCTGTGGAGTAACACAACATTTAGCAGTTATCTGTCAGCAGAAAAGACACAGGGCTCGCAGGGAGAGGGCGAGAAAGAGAAGCCATTCTAGATAATGAACCACCCTACGTGTTTTTACTGGTGACATTTGGCTATATCACCTAACTTCCTGTGGCTTCTCTGTTCCCACCTATGTTGGTTCACCAAACTGTGGATCGTTCTTGTTGGAGAGGAGGAGGTATCTACCAACAGCAGAGACGGTGCAAGGCTCCAACAGGAATGGCAATTTTCACCAGACTGATTTTCCAAAGTGAAGAATATTAAAAAACACAGTAGGAATGATGTAAAATTAGGTGTTGCAATCCAAATGAAACACAACCCAGGTTCATAAAAGAATATTTTTTCCTTTTATTTATACAAAATAATTAGTAGAATGTTCAGTCTTGGTTCACCATGGCATTCAGCTTAGTTTCATTATTTGAGCATTGCCTTGTGGAAGTTTTAATTGGCAACTTTGTTCTCTCCACTATGGACCCATAGTCCTTTGGAGGACTCGCCTTGCAAGAAATAACATGCACTTGGCTTGGCTGGAACTGTGTGCTGTGTTTGGTACTCATGTGACTCTAGTGCTGCATGAGAAATGTAATTTGGACAGAAAAGTTTTGTCTGTAGGGAAGCCTGGGGGTTCTGGCCTTTTAACTACAAAGTCAAAATAGAGACCCTCACAAAATGTGAAGTCCAGTATTAATTGAATTTCAGGCAAATGGAGCATGTATGTCAAATCAAACAAATAAAAGGAAACATTTCAATATAGGTAGTTATCCATTATAATTTTTATTCAAGAATAATTGATGTATTGGCAATTCTTTACAGAAATTATAAGAAATTACTTTTTTTTTTTTTGGTGCAAATTTATTATGTTGAAAGTACTTGCTTCAGCTTAGAATAATAAGTTTTGACACGCTGGAAGTTCCCAAGGAACAGGAATTCCAAATTTCTCACTGCTGCAAGTCCATGTTCATTAATTTTCATGGGTTTTTATGTGCAGGCTCTCCTCTGTGGGTTATAAAGGCTTTAGCAGTAAAGCCAAAACCTTTACTGAGGATTTGTACATGGGTACTTGAAGGATTAATTCTTAAAAGTGGAATTGTGCTCAGTTTGGTTTTATAACCAAAAACTTTTTATATAAATTGCACAGGTCAAAGGAAGTGTTCTTAATTGTGCTGAAGTGATCCCACAAAAAGCAATGTAGGTGGACAAAAGAACCAGCAAACTCTGTAACGGAACAGAGTTTGGACTCCTCTACAAATTTTTTTGGTTTTATGCTGCAAGTGATTAGTGGCACTGGCTTCTCATGCAAAGTTGTCAGTTCAGACTAGTTTCATGACTAAATTTTTTATATATAAAGAACATTTTGTGTGTGCAGTGTTCTAGGACTTTTGCTCTCTTTTGCAAGCATTGTTTTACTTTCCCCTCAACAGATCTGTTTCCAAATGGCAAAAGTGACCCCCTTGATCACCAAAAGGACTCCAGAGAGTTCAAACAGCCTTGGAAATTGATTCCCATTTAGCTTAATAGGATCTCACCTGCAGATTTCATTTTATGTGAGATAACCTTGATTTCAGATCAGTCCTCTGGAGAGGAAGGAGACCTTCAGAAATGCAGCAATGGACACAAATTTCCTGACAGTAGATGATCTACCTATGAGTTCCTTCTCTTCTGCAAGGGGAGTTAAAGGACTTTTGGAGTTGTAGGAGCTGATCTGCCTTCCAGCTCCAATCAAGAATTTAAATAATGCAAATGGAATTAAATTATTGAGAAACTATAAGACAATGAAGTTCTCTAGTTCTCTCCCAGGCCTCTCATTTTACTAGTCTGAGTTTTGGGTATGATAACAATCACAGTTTAGAAGACACTGAGAACTAAGCGGTGAAGCAGTTGAACAGGGGCACTGACCTGCAATCAATTATTTTACACACCTTCAGCTGGACTTCAAGAACTGTGTGTGCAAGGGTTCCCCTTCGTAGCTTGTCTTGGGATACTGTGAGTAGTGACTGTACTGAGAAGAATGGGAAAATTAAAAAAACTCTGAAAAACTAAAAGACTTGAGGATTCTTTTGGATGAAGAGGTAATAATCAAGACTATAATGTGTTTAAGATGTCATGCAGTTCTCTTCACAGGGGTGAAACTTCTAGACCTAGAAAGTGGAGGCCAAAGTTCATGATGTAAAGAGAGAACACAATTCAGTGATTCTCATGAGGTCCCTAGAAAGAATCTGGCTCAAGATGGTGCTTCATGTCGTAGTAGGGGCAGAGGCAATTACCAGCCTAAAGCAAACACGGGAGATCATCCACCCCAAAAAAAGTAGAAAGAATATAAACATTCTTTTCCTTTCTGAAAAACGAAATGGGTTTTTTGTATACAAAAAACCATGTTAGTTCTTCTCAATCCAGGAAGCATTCTTGTTGGTGCTTTCATCATAATTTTGACAGAATCAAGACAGATGTCCACTTTTTACTAAAGAAGTACATGTGGGTGAAAGCCACAAACAAATATATTCTCCCTTTCTTTTTCAACAGGTTATTTTAAAATCAGCCTCACGGAGTTGCAGATGACAATGTCAGGTCCTTCAGCCTGATATATGGGAAAAGCGCTGTCATTTTGATCTCCCTTCAAGCCTTGTTCAGTCTTGATGGCTGCAGCCATCCCTGCACCTTGCACCTGAGATTTCTCACAACTCTTCCTACCATAAGCCTTGTTCTGCTACAAATTGATTGCCTAGGGTAGGGTCATTTTTCCTTCAGTGTGAGCAGATTAGAGATCAGTATTCATTTCCTATGTTGTGGGGAAGGTTTGATGTACAACCATCCAGAGACCAGGAAAATAATTCTTGTAAAAAAAAGCCCTGTTCCTGCTGGCACCTATATTTTGTAAAAGACTCAGTGGGACAGTAAGAGCTGGTGGGTGAAGAGCTCTTTGTTGAGTTAAATTTCTTTCCCTGCAAGAGAAGAAGAAAAAATAGGGGTGTTGAGTTTTTGGTGGAAAACAAAACAAAAACATAACCCTGACTCTGCTAGGCCTGGATCCAGCCCTGAGATGGTCTGTTTTTTTCCACTGTCTCTCAACATTCATGCAAAGAATAAGGCAAAGAATGTAACTGTTCTCTTGCAGTTTCTGATCTGAATATGCTTCTAATGAATTCCCCTTTTGAACCCATCTAATTGTCCACCCTTTCCCAGCATTCCCTAGGCCTTTGACACACCGGAGTTCCCAAGACTCTGAGGACATAAAGCCAGTGCTAAATAGCATTTCACATTCCAGGAAGCTCCCAAAGAGCCACCAATTTCCCCTCACCCCAGGAGGCTTTGCAGAACCCAAAGAACAGCTCCCACTTTTCTGGAGAATCAGATCAAACCACAGCACCAGCAAGCATGAAATTGGCAAATATTTTCTTTTTATCTTGGAAAATAATAGTATTAAATAATAAAAACACTTCTAGTTTTTCATGACTGTCACATATTTGGAATGCCAAGGGGAAGGGACACTTTTCTTCCATTAATAGAATAGTACCGAGACATCAAACCTAGTGGAGCATTTCCAATCCCAGCAGGGAGCATAGGATGAAATCCCATGGTGGGAAGAAACCAGTTGCCACATTCAGGATGGGAACAAGGTAAAGCAATCAGATAAGTAGCTAGTTCAGGTTCAATTTATGGTTTGGGTCACCTCAACAATTTTCCCCCCATTTGTATGTGCCAACAATATGCTAATATTTCTTTTAATTCCTCTATCATTCCATCCTGGCCTATCTCTTCCTTTTTGTCCCTCAGTGGAAAAGGATTTAAAGGGGAAAAAGAAGACTAAAAAGGGGGACTTAGACCAGATTCTGGATCGCAGGTATTAATCAGTGACTGGGTCCATCATTAGCTAATAAGTTAAGCCAGGACTTCTTGCACTCTGAGAAGTTGATGTGGTCCTCAGTTTGCTACAGAACATGCTGGAGACACCTGCCCCTTCCTCAGTTGCTGCTGATCTTGCTCTGATCACTTGCCACTCACACCATTCCAGCACTGGGCACAGCTCCCTTGTAGGTGTCACCTCAGCCTTCACTGCAAGGTCAGCCCGAGACCCTGGAGAGAGGCTGGGCAGCTGCAAAGGAAAGAGGCTGTTGACAGAGGCTGCAAATGCTTAAGTCAGTTAGTAATACCCAAGAACAAAACAATTTTATTGAGACTTCAGTGGGGTCAGATATCATCCCCCAAGTTACTCCATCTTCCTACCAATGAAAACATTGCGTTTCTAAGTCCTTGTCTACATGGAGTGCACAAGCGGGGCAAGAAATCCTCTTAGTAAAAGAAAAAGAAAAATGCATTAGTTCAGGCAATTGACTTCATTTAGCAAAACTCTGTGTGTCAGATGGCTCCTGGATGGGGGCTGAGCTGTGCCTGTCACAAGCAGAGACACTGTGGCGTGGAGCAGAGCACAAGTCCATGCCCCTGTTTAGAAAAGTGCCCCAAGTGCTTGCAATGAGCATTGCCAATCATTGTTTTCTCTGGTAAGATGTATCAGTCCCTTACTAGGAAAGTCACCCAGTCCCTCTTTTTCTCACGGACTGCAGCACCGGTTTGCAGCAGTAGAGGGGCAAGCAATGTAGTTTCAATTAAGGCCCACTAAAAACAGCTCTTACTATGTTATAAATTCTATATTTATCCTGAAACACCAGACCCATCCTGAGCCTTCTCCCCCTCCTTTAATTGTTTGCAGAAAATTTTCCATTGTGTTTTCTTTTCCATTTTTTAGGACCAGTATTGCAATATAAATAGTCTTTTTTTCTTTTCTTCTCTCTCTCTCTATTTTTGCTAATAGTTGGTTTCTCTACTTGGCTGAATGTACATGACTCTGAGGTTTTGCGATATAATTGCATGATTGCTTCCAAATTTTCCGACCAATGGGGCATCTAATCAGTTGAAAAATTTCATTATCCACTGATACATGCTGGAGGGAAGACAAAAATATAGTTTCTTCATGTATAATTTCTTTTTCTCTTCTCTCCTCTCCGCTATTTAACCTTCTGCCCCCACACCTGGAGCACAGACAAGTCAACCCAGCTGCAGAAGAAGTTCCTGTAGACCTGTTCAGGAGGTTTGGGGTTATGTCATGCTCCTTCACATAGTGATAACCCACTCAAACTGGACTCAGGGGCAGTCCAATTGAAGAACAGCCAAGTGTGATTTGATGTGTGGTATGGAGACAGGTATTGCCCCTATTCCCTATAGAGTTTGAATGACCAGTCTCTGGCTTGAAATGCCTGATTTCAACAGATTTGTTTATTTTATCAGCTTTGCACTTTCACACAAGAGAAAGAAAGAGACATTTTTAACTCTTCCTCACCCAATTTTTCCTCTTGGACTTGGTTACTAATCTCTTTAGCCCTGAATTAGTTTTAATTACCACACGAGGACACCACAGGGGTGCCTGCAATCCTTTCACATACCATCATTTCTCTTGTGAGATCTTTGACTTCAAGGCTCTGCTATTGAGCAAATCAGCTGAGGCCACAGGTTAGGAATAATAGAGGGGGAAAAAGGAAGGAAAGTCATCCTCATCCTTCAACCAAAATAACTTTCAGCTTACTTAAGATATTTAAGTATGCTTGGTGAAATAGAAAAGCAAAATCTCATCTCTGCCTCTCTTTTTGTAATTTAGATAGTGAGCTCTGGCTTTGCTCCTCTTAGGATCACTGCATCCTTCTCCTTTTCCCAGGTTGTACCAAGGGTCTTGCATTTTTGAAGGGGCAGGAACCCACCATCCTTTTTTCCTAGGCCCTCATGCTCTGGCTGGTGCAATGCACAACGCACAAAATCTCTATTCTCATCAAATGACTATTTAAGGATCAAAACCTGAGCTCACATTTTCAACTGGTTTGAGCAAAATACCTAAATGAAATGCTCACTACCACTTCTAAGAGCTCATAAGTACCAACATTTGTACTATGCTTTGAACCTGAATTATTTCAAAGTACAGAAATCTAAACTTAAAAACGGAAAAAGAAATCCAAACAGAAAAACATCCCCTCAGTTAATCTCTTAATTGAAAGCATCTAATGAAAACTCAGTTTTTTCATGTACAATTAATTTGGCCATTCCTTTCCACTTTCATATAAAAGTAATTCCCTTCTGAATATTTAAGACAAAAATTCTCTTCTGCTCAGCTTCTCCAAGGAGTTTGAAAAATAATAACCAACTTTTTTGGTTAAAGTTAAAAAACTCTAAAAATCTTACTTTAAGTCATCAGCATGTTTTATATGTTTCTCATTTATGAGGAATGAGCTCAAGTGCATTTATCTACCTACAGTATCAAGGAGTCATTTACAAACGGTCTTTCTAAACAGAACTTTTTTATTTAAATATTCCTTGCAGACTGCTCTTTGGAGTGCCCTGGATCTCATTAGAAGTGTGGTATTTTCCTCTTTCTCCAAAATGAAATTTAGTTTCCAATTAAAATCTGGCCCCTCTGACAGACACTGTGTTTCACTTTCAGGTCCAGATTTCTTACCATATTGACCCTACCAAATACCTCCAGTGACTTGTAAAAATAATAAGTGTTATGCACAGCTGCACAGATCACCACGCCCCTCTCCCTCAGCATT